CCAGGTCGAGGCTATGGTGGCCAGGAGCGGCCACTGCACTCCAGTCTGGGCGACAGAGTGAGACTCCAACTCAAAAAAATTAAAAAGAAAATTTAAGTGTGACACTGCACACCCACCCGAATGGTTAGCCAGAAAATAGCAGGTAGCAACAATGTGAGAAAGCATTTATCAGTAACTTTTAATTTTATATCCACCAGAAATACATACGCTCAACAAGACAATTCTAGAATGTTCATAGAAGCTTTATTCATAATAGCCAAAACTTGAAACAGCCCAAATGCATGTAAACAAAATGAATCAGTTGAGTATATTTATACAATGCAATACTTTACACAACAGTGTGAATGAACAAGCTACAACATGCATCAATATAGAAGAACTATATGAATATACTGTTGAATCAAATAAGCCAGACACAAAAGAGTACAGAATACATCATCTCATTTATTTGAAGCTCAAAAACAGGCAAAAGAAATCTATGGTGTTGTATTGGGATACAGACATCATTAGGACAGTGGTATAGCAACTGGAAGAGAACACGCATGGGGATTCTGGAGTGCTGGTGATGTCCCAATTCTTAATTTGTTGTGGGTTTGTGTGTGTGTTCAGTGACAAGTCACAGCTGTACATTTGTGTACCTTTATGTAATTTACACTTCAATAGTTTACAAAAAGCAAACACCAAGTGAGGTACCACTACACACCCATTAAAAAGCCTAAAATTGAAAGGACAATACTAAGTGCTAACAAGGATGTGGAGCAGCTGAAATGTTCATTTACAGCTACTGAAGGTCTAAACTAGCATAATCACTTTAGAAAAGTATTTGGCTAGATCTAGTAAAGTTGAATGTACATTCTCTAGGAATCAGCAATTCCACTCGATTACATATCCAACAGAAATGTATACGTCTGTTCCCAAAATACATGTACAAGAATACTCATAGCAGTTACCCCAAACTGAAAACAATCCAAATGTCCTTCAGTGCTGCTGGAGCGTACTAAGGTCAGCTGCAGCTCTGAATTGCAAGGAAGTGAACCTCCTTGAGGGCATCTCTTAATCAATTGGGATCAGGAGCCAAATAGTTCAGTCTCCTAGTCTCCTGTAAGTCAGAAAACTTGGGAAGCATTACGTATTCAACTTCAATAACACCCATATATTGGTTTTTCCTTAACTCTTGCCACTTGCCCATCCCTGCATCCTGGAACCAACCTCCAAATAAACTATTGCATCCAGGTTTTTCTCTCTCACATCTCACTCACAGAGAAGCCTGAACTACCATTTATATACAGCTCAAAAACAAGCAAAACCTATCTATGGTGATACAAGTCAGAAGAATGACTGTTACCCAGTGGGGGCAAGGATGATAAGGTGGTTTCTGGGATGCTAGTTATATTCCACATCCTGACAAGCGGTGCTCAAACAGGTGTATATATGTTCACTTCATTGTCTTCAAGCAGTGTGACTAAGATGTGCCCGTTTTATAGTATATGCTTTAATTTTAAAAGTTAAAAGAATGCAGGAGTTGAGTGGTAAAGAGTGGGCTTTGTAAGGTATATTGGACCTAAAGATACTGAAAGATTAACTGCAATGGGCACATTTATCTTTCTGATGCCTCACACCCCCTTGGCATCAGACATGTATTACTGAGGGATTTGCGGGAGGCTGACATTGGGAAGGGACTGCCAACTATTTCAGTGAAAGTAAGGCCAGTGCACTCACGTGAGACAGGCACCAGGTGTGCTGTGAAAAATCAATTCTTCAGCCAAGCTTTGTTTCTAAAACTGCCTCATGGAGGGCCAATCGTTCTCCCCATTTTTCCCTCTCCCTTTTCTAGTTCTTCATTCAACATCGATTTGTTTTAAACACTGTGCTAAGCACTGGAGATCTAGTAATGAACAGTAATAGGCATTGTCCCTGCTGAATTTCATTCTAAGAAAAACACATTAAATAATCATGCATATTGATGTGTATGACTAGCATTACAAAGATGATACTCCTGCTTCTGAGAACCTATGGCAAGGTAGGCTTCCTGAAGTGACACTTGAGCAGTAACGTGAAGGATGAGTAGTAGGTGAACCAAATGGGTGGGAAGTATAAGGAGTAAGAGAAACAAGTTCAATGTGACTGCTACGGGGAAAGTGAGGCAGCATCTGGTAGAGAGCCTAGATTGATAAGCAAGGGCCAGACCACTGTTTCCAAGTGTCATTATCCTACCTAAGGGGAAATAAAGCCAGAGTGATTTTAAGTCAAGAAGTGCCATGATTATATGCATGTTTTGAAAAGATCAATATGGCTGTTGTATGGACAACGGGTTAACCCAGAAGCAACAAGGTGATAAAAGCTTGGATTGGGATGGTAGCAGTCGAGATGGAGAGAAAATTCAACAGACATTGACAAGACTATACAGGCTATAACTGCCATTATAAGAACAACCAATGAAAGAGTAACAGCCAAAAGGCAAAGGGCAGGCAGGAGACTGCAATCTGTGCAGAAAAGTTAAAAAAGGACTCCTCAAATACACCAAAGGTTGGGCAGTGCTTCCCAACATCTGTAGAAAGCTAGGGAAAATGAGATCAACCGAAGACTTCTCAGCAAAGTGACAACTCTGCTGGGAGGCTAGTGTTTTCAAGGAAAATATCCTTACAAATCCAGGTGGGTGCCTAATAGGACAAGGCAGCATAAGTCACTGAGAGGGCTATGAGCTTGTTTCACATGCAGGAGGAGTGTGTGGGTGGACAGCAGAGCCACTGAGCTGTGAGAAGATTGTATTCCCAGGTGAGAGTGGATGAATGACAGCAATCACTGTCTCTAGAGGTGATCAGTTAACAGGACGCTGGTGATACAGAAGCAGCTTTTGTGCAGTGGATATAAAGTTCTGGAGAAAGGGCAAGTTTGGCTGGATGAGTCAACTAAAAGCAACACAAGTTCTAAGCAAAAAAGAATACTGTACATCTGGGTAAGGCTGGTCTCCTAAAAACAAGGACAAAACAGACAATAAAAGCTGTTAAACAAGGACCAATCTGAGTTTCCAGAGTCATTAAACTACAAATTGATTCTTGGGTCCAGGATTTCTTGGGGGAGGGAGCTTATGTCCCAAATTCACTATTATGACTTGTGTGGGTCTACAAAAAGACTTGAATCTGTGTCAGTAGACCTCTTTCACAAGTTCCTTTGTGAAGACGTTACCTTTTGACCTCTTGCAATGACATCACCAGGTGCTTATTTATAACAGGTCATGGTAGAAATGTAATCACAGTATTGTCCTGACAGCAATTTTTGCAAGATACATGGAAGTTTAAATTGTCTGAACTACAAGAAAATCTATTTTAAGATGTTCTGGATGCCACAAAAGGGCTAAGATGGATGGGTGAGGCTGTATTCTTGCTGCATTTCTGAATCCCAACAAAATTACACGAAATGATAGGCTTTCAGTTAGCTGAGAATTTTTCAATGTGATTTGCAATTGAACCACTCTAGACTTTAGTTAACAGAATAAGCAGAAAAACACTGTGGGGATATTTTACCTCTTTTTTGTTAAGAATATACTGTTGTTACCTGTAGTCAGGAAATAGTTTAGTCATTTTCTCTGACTCAGGACTAGAGTTCAAAGACACCATTTCCTCTAGGGCCTAGAACCCATGGATATTAAGTCAGAACATAAGTTGAAATCTTAGCTTTAATAACCACAGGGCTTTGAACAAGGTACTTGATCTCTCGGAAACTCCTTGAAACACAGAAATTACTTGCAGACATACCTAATATGACTACTGAAAATCAAGTAAGACTATATGTTAACTGCTTACACCTAGCATACTGAATACATGTAATACCCACAAAAAGTTCTACTTGTCTTGAGCTCAAAACAACCGACAAATATACTATATTTTGTTATAGATTAAGCCTGCAACTTACTAGATGTCCTTACTAGAGACAACTTCAATATTAGAGTATAGGGTCTTGAACCTACAAAAATATTACCAAGGAAGTCAAGAACAATGAAACATTTTGGAAGTAATTACCTTTGTTTGTGTTAAGTTTTAGTAGCCACTACTTGCTTGAAAACTGAATATTCTCTAAGCACTGTATTATCCAATAAAGAAGCCACGACTCTAAAATAAAATTTTAAATCCAACTCCTTTGTCACACAAGCCACATCTCAAGGCTCAACAACCTGTCACTAGCTATATCTTGGTCAATGCATTGTAAGACATTTCCGTCATTAGTTTTGCTGACAAAACGTCCTAAGAATGGTGGGCAAATTTACTTTTAATGGTTTTTGCTGTCATCTTAGAAAACAAGCGTTTTTCCCCTCCTACTCCAGCTTTCCCCTAACCTTTTAACTACCTGCCCAAATGCCATTCTAGACTTTGGTACATAAATTTCAATGCAGGTACACCTTGACGCTTTCAGTTGCGTTTGGTTCTTTTATAACATACCAGCCACCATTTCCTCATACTGCACTTAACTCACAACATATGCAAGGGCTTCTTTTACTAACCTCCCTAGTAGCCAGGCTCATTGGGTAGACACCCTCTAAGCACCATGTCCTTTCCTAATCCCTGCCCATCTTTACCATGAGTGCTGGTTTTTGCCTTAAGGTGTAGTGGTGCCCTATTTGGGTGGAAAACTAGAAATAAAGCAACTTGCAAAATATTGATGAATGCCAACCACAGAGATTTACCTATCTGGAGCACATGCCAGGACATCAGGATCTTATAAGCCCCCGGGTATCTTTAATACACATTCAAGGTTAAGAACTATTCCACTTCACAAATATCATTATTCTGATCACATCTTTTCTAGATATATGTAAGGACTGTAGGAGTTACTTTTGCGCAAGCAAAAATCTTGTCAGAGCTTACATGTTTTTCTCAATCTTCAATTCTGATTACCACTAGAATAAAATAATCCACATCTTCATCGCCATTCATCTTGGGCTTCGATGTCTACTGTTTTTGCATTTACCACATTACACTATTCTTCCTTCTCTTATGCTATGCAGTTCTACTTACAAAGGGTGCTTTTACTCTAAGACTCTTTAAACAGGTTTTTTTTTTTTTTGAGATTTCCTTACATTTTAAAAATTAACTTGAAAGTTACTAATGTAACCATGTTTTCTCAATTTACTTTGTCCTTTGTTCTACTGATCATTTGAAAAAATGTTATCCCATCAGGTAGCTATGTCTACAACAGTTTAACGGGTTACAGTATTACTCTACATCAAGATCCTTTGCAAACACTAAAATTCTCCAACAGTGCTTATTAGTCAGAATCATCATAGTGATTCCTGTCATCTGTAAATTACAGCAATAACCCAAGTGAGGCTCTTAAACTCAATAGTGCATATTATATGTAACTAATTTGTCACTCAATTTTGTCATGTTTACTATTATCAACTGGTTTCTTTATCAGAGTACTTTTTCTTGGAGGCCTCTAAATTCAAGTGAAATACATTTTCTTGGTCGAGGTGATCTGAACTAGGGTCGAAAAACTCCATTTGACATTAGCGTGGCTGAATTTTCCTCATATTAAATAAAAAGGTCAACTGTCAGTAGAAAGGAGTATGTGGCCAAGTCCTTCAGTCTCCCAGACCACATGACAGCCATTAACGATGCTTGCTGGTTCTCTCCTGAAAACAAAATTAATTAGTGCATCAGTGGTCAGTCAATGCTATCACAGGCTAGTCATATGTCCCCAGAACACCTTTCAATTGATACATTAAATATTCGCTTACTCCTCTATTCTGCAACCTACACAAAGCATTTTATTTAGGCTACCTCAAAACATAGTACTTGTGAAGTAGCTTGTCACCTGTCATTTACTTTCCACATCATATACTGAGTTTTCCTTCCGCTAGTTCTTTTGAATAAAACATACTAAGTTGTCTAGCAGAATCCTTTACTGACACTTTATAGTTACCCTACAGCTTGGTTACATCTATTGTACTCCTTCCATTATGTTCTTCTCAAACTCGACTCCAGTTCATTCATTACCTTACAATATACCATAATCTTGTTCCTATTTTTTCCTGTTCTAGTATACCAGGTTACCTCTGAAAATCAGAGACTAAAACATACAATCAATGGGGACTAATGAACAATCTCTACTTGTAGGTTTTGGACACTGAGGCAACATGTAAACTGAAGTCTTACAAGAATCCTCTTATCAAGCATTCCAAATTCATCATTCACTCCCACTACCTAAAACAACTATCAGTTAGCTCACTCCACTGGTAGAAAAGCAAATTAAAAATTATCGTAGCTAGAGGACTCCAAAAAAGTTTCCAAATTAAAAATTAAGCAAAATCAGAATGATTCCTTTTTCATCATTAGCCTTCTCTCCTGCTTTCCAATCCTGAGTGGAGACTGTACTACTAATCAGCTTCCAGGCTACTTTCTTGAGTCTCTCTGTTGCCCAGGCTGGAGTACGGTGGCATGCCCACAGCCACCCAGTGTCGACCTGCTGGGCTCAGGTGATCCTTCCGCCTCAGCCTTCCAAGTAGCCGGAACTACATGCATGTCCTACCATGCCCGGCTGATTTTTTGGATTTATTGTAGGGATGAGGTCCCACCAAGTCCCCAGGCTGGTCTAGAACTCCTGGGCTCAGGCAATCCTCTCGCCTTGACCTCCCAAAGTGGTAGGATTACAGGCTTGAGCCACCACACCTGGCCCAGGCTATTTTCTTAGCTGTCATGGCACACTGAAAAACCTTTGTTCTAAATTTCATAACAAATTAAAACAACAGCATCTTTGTTTTGTCTTAAATCTTATTTTCACAGAGTGGACTCTTTGATTAAGACTGTCATGCTAACCCAAATTCCCCCTATTAGCAGACTCAAAAAACCTAAGTCTTTCCCCTTTACCTGCTTGCCATGCTATTTGTTCTTAATTTTTCAGAGTTGGAGTATCACTCTGTCACCCAGGCTGGAATGCAGTGGCATGCTCACAGCCACCACAGCCTCTACCTGCTGGGCTTAGGTGATCCTTCTGCCTCAGCCTTATATCCCTCTGTAATTTCGATTGCACCAATTACATTCTTATTTCCTAGGGCCAAAGGTAAGTAATGTCACAGTGAATCTAAGCCTACCACCTAATCTGTGGTCTTCAAAACCACTAGCTTCTTTTTCAAAAGCCTTTATTTATCTGCATTTGATTAGATTTCAAAGGGCATTTTACCAGATAGTATTTCAATCACCTTTCTTTTACTTTGCTATGGTTTTGCCCTAGAAGTGGAATGTCAAAAGTATTAAATAAATATGGCTGTCATTATAGAAACTTAATTACATGAGGAAACTTAACTCACAGTAGCCTGAAACCTAGAGTGTGAAATGACTTTCTCATCAAGAGGAACTAGAGATATCTGGTTATTTCAGCAATAACCATAGCATGTGTGTAGATTTTCAGTGAGGGTATGATCACACTTTCTAGCTGTCAAAAAGTATTAACAGCTTCTTCCAATATCTGTTTTCCTAAAGAATTAAAAGTACAGTTGGCCAGCCATATCCGTGGGTTTTGCACCTACAGATTTGACTAACCATGGATTGAAAATACAAAGGAAAAAACAACAAGACAAATAAAAAATACAACAAAAAACACAAAAATACAGCCACAACTATTTATGTAGAATTTACATTGCACTAAGTATTTTATGTAATGTAGAGATGATTTAAAGTATACAGGAGAATGTATGTAGGACACATTTTATATAAGGGACTTGAGTATCCACAGATTTTGGTCTTCACAGCTAAACAGACTGCTCTGTGTGACGAAAGGGGTCCTACAGCGTATAGGCAGATAAACACTTCTAATTCACCTAATTAGCCTAGTATTTTCCAAAACCTTATGGCTAACACCGTATCATATAGGTTTTGTTAGCATGTTAGGCTTCTGACACTTCCTTCTAAGCATCAGGTCTATTTCTAGTCTTACATTATCTGCTATAAGTTTGCATAACACGGGATAGAAGTATTTTGGACTGAAGTAAATATAACAGAAGTTATTTTCATACTGTGAATCTGGGCTCTAAGGTAGGTTCAGTCTCTTCTATTCCACTGTCACCCTGTTTGTTACATAAAATGACCTGTAAGATCCTTATAAATAGGCTGTCCTGACTTGCCTATAGAAAGTAGAATGCAAAAATGGCAGTGCTGCGTGCTATGAAAAAATACCAACTTTACCAGGAAACCATGGTTCATGTGCATAAAAACAATCTTTTTTGGGGGGAGTGGGGATGGGGTGCTGAGCTGGAAAAATTGAAAAACCACAAACTGGACTGTTCAAGGACTAGGTAAGTACCACAACTCTGGCAGTTGTTTAATATATCCATCCTTAGAAGTTTGGGTGCAAGAACATCTTTTTTAAAAAAAAAAAATCACTGCAATTGAGGGGGGAAATGCAAAGATTAGCATTTAAAGTTCACTTAAAGAAAAATAAATAGCAACATCTCTTATGTTCTCAACTACATAGGAAATACAGGAAAATAAAGCATATTCCTGTTTTCAGTAACACTGAGGCACAGACTCAGAAGGTAAATGAGGCTCGTAATAGTGATTAAAAAGACAAAATGGAAAGAAATAGGAGTTTCGTTCTTTGGATGCTTCAATATTCCTAAAACCTTAATGTGTTTGAGTTTCTCCTGTTTAAGGAAAAAACAATTTAGCAGACAACGAAAATATCAAAAAGTGTGCCAGTTGGATCACCAAAGCACTGATGAACGTATTTCTCAAACTTTTTCATTATGGTGTAAAACCCATTTTGCAAAAGAATCTCCATTCTAAGTTACTTGACTCCTTAATGCAACATCTACCTCAATGAAATATAATTTTCGTGTATGTTGGTATGCATAATTATGACTCCAAGAAAAATACATCTAGTACAGTTTAGGGGTTTTGTGGAGGTCGCTGTAAAACAAAGAATTTAAAATAAAACAATTATAAAGTAAAAAAATAAAAAAACCAGGGTTCTTTTTTCTCCAAATTCCTGGTTTAATAAGGACTTGTTTATTTTGAGGAAAAAAGGTCCCAAACATCAGGCTGTTCACAAAAATAACCCACAGTATCAACTTTAGAAAACAAAGACTATTACACTAATTATTTTTCTAGAGGATGCATTTGACATGCCAACTCTCATTCACAAAAATACATTGTTACATTTGTGTTGAACTGCCCCACACAGCACACTTATGTGGGAGTATAACACACAGACTTCTAACTCAAAGCTGCTCTCAAGTGCTACTCAACTAAATGAGATAGATTGCCTTTGCAGTTATAGAAGCAACTACTGAACTCATGTATGAATGAAAAGAACTGTACTCCCTGCATAACAAGAGATTATTTTGGAGACAGTTGATAAAAACCATACATCCTTTTTATTGTTAAGTCATAAAGAGGTATCAAAATTAAAAGCAAAAATTACGGGGTAAGACTTAACAAAAACTACTAGGAGCGTTCAAAGGAAGTGAAAATGGGACTAGGCGCAGGGCAATATGAATTAATGAACATGGGAAGGACAAGGATGGGGAGAACAGTGAGCATGTGCTGAAGATACTAGGGGAGAGGATCTGGTGAAAATTTTGATCTTAGACAAGCGCCTAGGTAAAGAAATAATGGGATAAGATCTCTAAACCCCACTATGTGCTTAAGAGTCATCCTCGCCATTGGCGCTGTCTCTGTCATCCTCTCCTTCCTCAGCCTCTTTTTCATCATCCTTGATCAACTCCAGCTGTGAGAAACAGACACAAATAGGATGGAGTTAGAGGCACTCCATGTGTCCCTGACCCCCCCTCCACCACCTTTTTATTTTCTTTCCCATGGTTTTCACCTGGTCATCCCCCCGATCTTCATTATCATCATCATCCAGTAGGTCCCCCTCCTCAGCAGAGTCATCTGCACCCCCCTCAGACTCCATCTTCACGTTAGTTTCATCTTTCTTCACGGAGGTGGTAGTTTGCTCCTCTTCTACCTTATCATTCTTCATCTCCACTGTGGAGGAAAGTGACAAGTATGTCTAGCGACACATAGTTTCCACAGGATATAGACAATCCCCACTAGTGATCACAGAACTAACTACAGCAGAAATCTAAGTCTCCCACATAAATGCCTTTCCCAATTAAAACTTCACTGGGATAAACTGCTTTCCATCCCACTATTCCAACAAGTACTTTTAACTGCCATGGGTAACTAGCCCAACATTACATCCAACAAGCAGAAAAACAATTTACCTGCTGCTTGTTTGCTCTGTTCCTTTTCAATTTTTTCCAGGTTTTCCAGCAGAGAATCCACTTTTTGCTTTATCTGAGACAGTTCCTTCTTAATGGCCTGAATGTCATCACCTTTCACTTTAATTAAAACAAAACAAACAAAAATCCTAGATTAGAATCAAAGGTACCAGAGGCTAGCGGCTACCAAACACATTTCATCTACTTCATCAGAAATCAACAGATCCCAGGACAGAAAGTCAATGAGGACCCTTGATTTGTTATAGTTGGTAGCTGAAAACTGAATCAAATGCATGTATTTCCTTAGCAGCAGCATTCTGAGTTATATAGGATCACGAAAGACCTCAATTCTATTTTAAAGTTCTTTTTTGTAATGCATATGAATTTTTTTAATAGGCAAGACCTCACCATGTTATCTAGGCTGATTATTCACCCATCCAATCATAGTGCACTATATAGCCTCAAGAGATGCTCCCACTTCCATCTTTGATTCCCCCAACTCAACCTTCTGAGTAGTTGGGACCACAGGTATATGCCACTGCACAACACCTCTTCTAGTATTTTACAATATTTACAAGAGTTCAATACAGAAAAGCAAAAGCAAATCTTCATATGGAATACTAAGTAAATTTAGTTTTTAAACTACACAGACATTTCACAGATTTAACAGGTGTCTAAACTCTATTATACAGTCTAATAACTTTATTCAAACTAACAAGCAGCTAGAGTTAATAAAAGGCAATCAAGAGTTGGTACCTTAGCCATGTAGCACATAAATATAATCACATTAATTTTTCCCATTTCAAAACACATCAAAATCACAAAGCTGAAATAACGACACATACACTTTCCAGACTTGGAAGAAGATCCTCGCTGACCACTCTTAGAATTGAAGCCACTTTTGCCCCTTCGTGAGGTGTTTCCTGATACACGCTGGCGTTTCGAGGGCACTACAGCCCGAGCAATAGGAGGAGGAGGAGGAACTCGTGCTGGGTAACTGTACATCCTATTGGACAAGAGGAAAAAAGACCTAATATCAAGTCAGCAAGATCCAACAGTGAACATAACATATTAAATTAACATGCATTGTCTCAGTCATTTCATTTTACTAAGTCAATTTCATTCTTTTCAAAAGGCCAGAGGAACTCATAACTTGATAAAATATTTTTAATACTCCATTAACTTTGCTTCAATACTACATATACAAACATAAATTCAATAATATGGTTGTGGTTGGCCTTAAGAACAGATTCATATGCTAACAGCATTACTTCTTGTAACAGGCCTTTTCTTGATTTTATTTCATATCTATACTGCAATAAACAGTTCACATGAGGCCAAATATAGTACTCATAATAAAAATACTACAAGTGATAATAAAAATACAAGGAAATGCAAACTGTGGTTATTTAGTATTAGTCAGAGGCCTGATTTTTTTCATCAACAGAAGAATTTACTAGTTATTACTAGTGATATTACTAATGATATTAGGTTGAACCAACCATATAAAACTGCTAGTACTGGAGGTGCAGGAGAACATCAATTAAATGTACCTGACCCCAAACCAGGCAAAGCGGGGACCAAAGGCAGGCCCAAACTTTGCCTGTATAATGACCACTTGTATACCTAAACACTGAAATGTACCGCACATCTGATCTTCTCATATAGTAGAGGGAATTACAAGAAAATGTGTTAGCTACTGATACGCAGAGTCCACTGTCTACCTTTACTATTCACTAGTGCCTAAATCCAACACCCAGCACACATCTGACGCTCAATAAATAGTTTCTATTAAAACTTTTAACTAAAAAACAGAACAAAAAACATCTTACATGGGAATGGGAATCAGTTTCAGAGATTATACATGCCATGTTGTCATTTAAATATAACAGTTTATGGTAGCATATCAACGAATAATACACCAGTGGATGAATTTTTTTTTTTGGAGTTTAAGTCTCACTGTTATTCACAGCCACTGCAGCCTCGAACAGCTGGGTTCAGATGATCTTTCTACTTACGTAGCTGGAACTACAGGCACATGCTACTATGCTAATTTTTTTTTAATTTTTATTTTTAATTGTAGTGATGAGATCTTGCTATGTTGCTCAGACAATCCTCTCACCTCTGTCTCCCAAAGTGCTGGAATTACATGCTTCAGCCACCGTGCCTAGTGAATGAGTTTTTTAATGACAGCCCTGCAAGCTTTTTTTAAAAAGCAACTAACTTAGCCAGTAATGTCTATAATTCTAGTACTTTGGAAGGCTAAGGTAAAAGAACTGCCAGAGTCCATGGGTTCGAGAACAGCCTGGGCAACTTGGTGAGACCTCATCTCCACAATAAACCAAAAAAAAAATCAGCCAGGTGTGGTGGTACGCACCTGTAATTCCAGTTATTTGGAAGGCTGAGGCGGAAGGATCGCCTGAGCCCAGAAGGTTGAGACTGCAATAGCCATGAGCATGCCACTACACTCCAGCCTGGGTGACACAGTGAGATCCCAACTCAAAAAAAAAAAAAAGAGTGAAAAAAGAAGGCGCCAACTAATAACCTACAAGGCCTGGGTATTCTATTAAAAAACAAAGAGGCTAGGTTCAGTAGCTCAGGCTATAACCCCCAGCGCTTTGGGAGGCAAAGGCGAGTGGACTGTCCGAGCCTGTGGGTTTGAGACCAGCCCAGGCAACTTGGCGAGATCTCATCTCTACAATAAAAAAAAAAACAAATAAAAAACACAAAACCTAGCAATTGCTCTCTGCCTAACTCAAAAGATTTTTAAAAACCAAATGGTGATGTAGTAAACAACTAACGAAGTTTTATAAATCATTATCATGTTGTGAATCTTCCTTGTGTAAACACATATATTAGTGGCTGGTTTTCTGAGTTATAATATAGTCTCTAATTTTCCAATACTGAAAACATTGATTTTATAAGCTCTCAGAGATAGTATCTTTCTCTTTTCTGTTAACCCAACTTCTCTAAAACGTTTCCACATTATTTCAACAAAGTAGTATATCATCTTTTCCTGAAGAGTGTCTTTAAGGACAGAAACATTTTCCTAAGAAAGAGTATAAGAACACTGCCAAACAAGTTAGAGCATGATTTGCTAATCTTCAAATAGTTTTCAGTCCTAACCTGGCACTTCCCCCCTTGAACAGAAATGATTGGCTTTTCACATGGCAAAAAAAAAATCAACTTTGTGGGCACAAACTATAATAGTAACTTTTTATTATCACTACCTTCCCATTTTTACATTTTTTGCAAAGAATGATTCAGAAACTATAGAATATCAGCACTGAGAAGCTACTATCTGTTGTGTAAGACACATTTAAACCAATTTCTTTTTCTTTTTGAGTGCTGCTCAGGCTGGAGTTCAGCAGGCACACTCACAGCCACCACAGCCTCAACTTGCTAGGCTTGGGGATCCTTCCACCTCAGCATTCCAAGTAACTGGAACTACAGACGCAAGCAACCATGACAGGTTAATTTTTAGTTTTCTATGGAGATGAGGCCTTGCCAAGTTGCTCAGGCTGGGTTCAGGCAACCCTCTTGCCTTGGTCTCCCAAAGTGCTGGGATTACAGGAATGAACCACCGCAACAGGCTTAAATCAATTTCTAGGGGTAAAATAAAGTTATCCTTGTCTTTAGCCTAAAACTGAGCATAAGTACCAGCCCAACTGGACTTAATGAGATCTAACCTACCTCCCAACCTTCTCGCCTTCACTGGCACCAGTACCCAACTGATGAGCTATCCACTCCAGATTCCCTGTAACTGGATTTCCTTTTGGATCATACTATTTCATCTGACTATAATCAAAATAAAGAAAAATTTGTTTTGAATTAGGTAATGACCCCATGAACACAAATGGAAGTACTCTAATTTTTAGGGAAAAACATTTCAATTGGTAGTGCTAAAGCGCTTTTAGTTACACAGCAATCACCTGTTTCTCAAGAATGGACAAACTCACAAAGACTCCTTTGAGAAAGCCGACCTTGTCTTATAAAATGTATAAAAACATGAGAAAATATGGAGAAAACTCATACCTACACTATGAAAACCATTAAGATCAAAGGGGGCAGGTAATAAGCTCATTATGATTGCTTCAAGGACCAGCTACAAATTAAATAACCATTTCCCCCTTGAGAAGGCTATATAATAAATCAGGAAGCATCAACAGCAGCTGATTTTCTATTGATACAGCCTAGATTATTTAACCCTTTGCACTGGGACATTTCCTCTGTAGGCACATAGAGACTGCTGGTGATTCTTCAGGACAACAGCAAAAATTTCCCAAAAGTATATGCATCCCTGAAGTTTTCTATTAAAACTGTGTGAAACATGAAATAAAGTGATGAAATATATACTGAGATATGATCTATCAGTTAAGAAGTGGTTTTCAGGAAGCACGCTGCATCCTTCCACATTTTCTTCAGACTGGACAGTAAATTACATATTATTAATGTGGACAGAAGAAAATGATACAGCCTCTGCTTGAATAACACCAGGTGGTAGATGTCAATCAAATTACTATTGCATGTGGATTGTCTGAGTCCGTGGGTTCGAGACCCGCCTGGGCAGCGAGACCTCATCTCTACAGTAAATCAAAAAATCAGCTGGGCGTGGTAGCGCATGCCTGTAATTCTGGCTACTCGGAAGGCTGAGGCGGAAGGATCACCGGAGCCCAGCAGGTCGAGGCTGTGCGGTGGCCGGGAGCGGCCACTGTACTCCAGTCTGGGCAACAGAGTGAGACTCCAACTCAAAACAAACAAACAAACAAAAATTTCTATTGCACAATATGTATCAATGAGCCTGCAATGCATGTTGTTGACTGTTTCACACATTACCACACATTAGAAAAACGTATAAAGATCTGATTTGTCATAAGCTCCTCAATGTCCAAAATCCAATTAGAAGCCAAATATTACTACAATAAAATAGCTGGTTCCAAGGCTATACTATTTAATAAGAAGTGATTCATCTTTCACCATTTCGTCAAAAAGTGGGGTCGAGTTGCTGGGAGGTGATCCGCAAAATACCTTCAGGCACAAATGGCTAAAAAGTCTTGATGAAATGTTCACTATCAGAAGAACTAGGACCACACCTAAGAGACCTATGATTGCATCTTAAAAAAAAAACCAAAAACCTGGAAGCTATGTGTTGGCAAAAAATCTAGTCAAAATAGAAGGTAATTACCATTTGAAAGAAATTAAAACATTTCTGGCAACACTGGTTAATTATCTAAACAGACTTAGACAAAGAATCTCTACCCCAATCTCCAAATTAAAAGCATTATGAGACACTTAGTAGACAGATTAAAGATTAGAAATGTTTAAGAACAGCTTCCTTTTGCACAAGTTATTTTTGAAAAACTCCATAATACCAATTATAAAACTACTTCCTCTCTGTACAATATTGGTTTTATCAAATTCAGTGTAAATACACAACCTCATCACAATTTCTTTCACACTGTTAAGAGGAATTATTTTTCAATAAAAAAACTCAGTATCAATTTGCTTTTAATTTTGCTGGAATAGGGATGAATCTTATGGGTGACTGTGTTCAGGCTTTAAGGATGTGTGAGAATCCCTGAAACTGCTACAATTCTCTCAATGTACCTATATGAACAAAAAGTTTAAAAATCACAGGTCCAGGAGTAAGAGATACTATATCTCATTCTATCTAAGCTTAACAGGACCAAATCTAGACTATTATGTGCCCATCTCGGAGAAGCATCCAGAGGAGGTAAAGAGAAAAAGTGATATAAATCCAAGAACGAGGGGATGTGTTAATTCAAAAGAATGAATTTAAGAAGGTGAGGATACACAAAACTTTTAATGAAATGTACCCTGTGTGAAGTATCTATAGAAAACCATGGGAAATGTGACACAGCAGAAAAAATATGAAGAGTCAAAGTCAAAGAGCTGGTTTTCCCAGCCTAGCTGCAACAAGTACTAGTTAAATGAATTGATGACAGATAAGTGGCTCAAATTCTTAGTTATGTAGTTAAAAATGTT